ATGGGTCTGGGGCTCGATTGAGAGCCGTTGACCATAACTGTTTGGGTTCGTTTTGAGAGGTATGAGGTGAGCCATGCCAGAAGAGAGCCGGTGATACCGTACCCGCGAATTTTTGCCAGAAGTCGTGCGTGTGAGACGCAGTCGAAAGCTTTCGACATGTCCAAGAATAATACTATNTCTACAATCAATGGATGCTGTGAGGAGATTGAAAAAGTCAAGTTGGCATGTCGTGCATGAACGAAGTTTCAGAAAACCATACTGGCTGTCATTTATGAGACTGTTTGCCAGCAGGTATTGTGTTATGTGAGATTTAACGATTTTTTGCATTATCCTGGCTATTATGGGTGTATGACTGATTGGACGGCAGTTGTCAATGGCTTGTAGGGGTCCTTTTTTTGGCGGGGGATGATGATGCTGGAATTCCATTGGGCAGGGAAAATACCGTTGTTTAGTGGGAGAGTGAAGAGGTTTAAAAGGATACCAGCTGATTCGGGGCCACCATAACGATACAGAGTTGTTGGAAGTCCGTCAGGACCGGGCTTAACGGAGGGTTTCACAGTGCTAAGTAAGTTCTGAATGTCGGAAAGGGTGAAGGAGGGTTACATACTTATGAAAGTATGTACCAAAGTGGGTTGTGTTCCACAGATCCAGCTTCGAAGCTGGATTAGTGTACTGATATGAAATTGTTTGAGAAAGTGGACACTGCTACCTGGTTAGCATGCGCCACGGAGTTGAGCCAATTGATTCGGATGAAAACGGAATCAGATACATATAAATTAAGGAGATATGGGTCACAATACTTATAAAAATATGTACCAAATTTGGTTGTGTTTGACGGATCCGGCTTCGGAACTGGATCCTGCCCTGCTAGTAGTCAATCTTACGTTGCTTGTACGGTATTCGATTCCTCTGTTTCCAAGAGAGCCCTGACTTGCAACAAACTTGTCAAGTCTAAGCCTAAAATAATGCGTTGTTGTTGCTGTAAGAACGTCCTCCGGGAACGCATTCCATGCAGGTGTTGTTTGCACAGATAAGTCTAGCCGGCTGCTGTTTGTTCGGCGCTGTTGGTGTTGGCCAGCCATCGGGTGACCCCGTAAATGCTGGTTAGAGGACCGGGTTAGTAGGTTCTTGTTGGGGTGATCTGGTACTAATGCAATTTCGTGCATTAGTATCAAGTCCCCGCGTAGACGTCTCTGAGAAATACTGAACAGGTTTGACCGTTGCAATCTCTCTTCGAACGTTAGGTTGTGAAGACCTACGACGGTTTTATTTGCCCGACATTGATATGCTTGGGAGGACGTTTTTGTCTTTCATCAGTACTTGGGGCCAGCCTGTAAATTGTATTATAGGTGCTGCCGTACGTACATGTTGCACATTAGCCTGAAACATTCGAGCTCTAATATACCGAGGAATCTGGTGATGAGGTGCTGTATGGAGCTTCCTCTTTTTGCCATTCGGACGCAGTTGTTTGAGAAGTTATTTTTCGGGTTCGGATTGACGCAAGATCGTTAACTTAATCTTACACTGTTAAAGGCATGCATTGGAGGAAGTGTCTTCTTACAGTTTCTTATTTCAAATGGACCCCTCGGCAATTGGTGTGGTTCAGGAGTACACCGTTCGGCGTGCTCCATTTATCAATTAAATCGGGGTCTCCTTGCAGGAGGTCGCTGTCCTGCTCATTTTGGACGCTCCTTCAAATCTTGACGTCATCAGCATATAAAAGATTCTTTGACGTCAAAGATTGTGGCATGTCGTTGACATATATTATGAATAGCATTGTGCCCAGTATTGATCAGGTCAGTTCAGGTCAGGCCGGTTCACAGGACATAGCGGCGGCGTTGCAGTTTGTCCTGCTTCTTGCACTGGTGGGCTCTGTGAATCCCCTGCTGCTGCGACCACAGGAATAAAAGAAGTCTGCTTCAATTAAACCAATAGTATACAACGACCAGAAGGTATCTTCTTCGCAGGGCTCCAGTCAGACGGGTTTTATCACGAATGGTTTTGCACCTTCCAGACACATGTGACGGCTAGATCATTACTTTGGACTGATAAGTTGGTTCAAACGGCTGAAGGTGTCTACCTGAGATAGAATAAGGGATAAGCCTAGAGGCTCTAGGGAGGTTGAGGGAGAACGAAGTAAAAGAGGGGAGAGCATATGGATTGTTGAGATTCATCAAAGAAGAGGTAGCGGTCCCTGAGTCGGATGTATTCAAACTGTTCAACTCAGTCGCCGCCCGCTTCAAACAACATGATCTATAAAATGTCTAGTTTGCGCTTGAAATATGCTGTCCAGCTAGCAGCAATGACTTCACCGAGCAGTCTTTTCTGGTCATTCACAACCCTCGTTGTGATGGAGGACGCTCTTAGGCAGGTTCTCACTCTATCTTTCACCAATTTTACAGGGTGCCCTCTCAGATTTGTTACTTCACCCAGCTTGAGCAGCGCTGTGTCTGGTACTTCCACAAAGACTCTCAAGATTTTGCACGTCTCAATGAAGTCTGCACGTCACCAGCGCCTACTGAAAGAGAAGAGGTTTAAAGCTTTGAGACGCCTCTCGTATGAGAGATGTCTTAAGCCCACAAATCACTTGGTGAAGTGACGTTGTACTGATTCTAACGTTTTTATGTCCCATTTTCAACTCCAGTTCTGTGTCCTCCTCAATGTTCTTCAAAAGTCAATGTCTCTTGTTGTTGAAGTTTTCTCATGTGACTGATTGGATAAAAATGAAGAAACACTTCGCTTGACTCTTTCGGTTCAAAATGTACATATCTTCGAAGCTCGGTCGACAGTCAGTATGTCCAAATGGACGTTTTGCACCCCTTCCTTTCGAGATGAGACATCCAATGTTGCTACCATCTGGCCATTTTGTGACTAAATTGATTATTAAACACACACACCATATGGATGGACATTGTGGATTAGAACAAACTATATCAGGCCTGCGGAGAAAATTCTGGGTTTTGAAAGCGCAAATTAATGTTCCTAAGGTCCTACGCGACTGCTTCCACTGCAAACGTTGGGTTTTGTGCTCTTGCCAACAGACAATGGCTCCGGTGCCCCTGGATAGACTAGTAATGCATGAACCACCGTTTGCCGCCACCATGGTCGATTATTTCGGGCCGTTTCAAGTGAAGAGGAGTCGTGGTACGGAAAAGCGATACGGTGTTCTGTGTTACCATCGGAGGAGCGTTGCGCCGCAACAAGATGGAACAAATCCTGGAGAAGAACTGTCCAGTTATCGACTGAATTTTGGAATGCGTGGAACAAACTATATCTACCCACCTTAAATGCAACACAAAAATGGAAGAGAAAAAGACGTAACCTGGGGATCGGCAATCTAGTGCTCCTAACGGACAGTAAGGTTCCACGAGGGCATTGGCCCAAAGCTATCGTTGAGGAGTACGCCCGGGCGTAGACGGTTTAGTTCAAGAGGTCATCATACGGACAAGCACAAATAGATTTCGTCGAGACATCAAGAACTTATGTTTACTGGAAGCCAAGGTTGAAGAAAGTTCAGAGCAAGACAGCTCAGGGCGGGGAGTGTAAATTCACAGATTTACGATGTGGCCCTGGCGAACTTCTAGTCAGCGGACGATATGATTGCCGATCGGGTTCTATCACACCTTACACACACATCTGCCCATCCTACCTACACACGTGTTCACATTCGTTGATTCAGTCATGTGACACAACACACACGCACGCACACCGTGACAACACTTACCAGTCATGCGACACCGACACGCACTAGGACGATGCAACCAGTCATATGACCATACACGTACTCACCGCGCCTTTGACCTCACCACTCTGACCAATTCACGCATTCGTGATCCCAGCCAATCAATGTGCTTGACCTTGTGACATTAGTCCGTTAGTCTGGGTGATTAGAGTCCCACACAATCGATTGCTTACCGGACTATTGCCTACGACCTCTGTGGTTATATTACGTCGTTTATTTACGCGGACTTGGGAAATCTTGATGTGAGTATTTACCCCTTTCATTATTGATGTATGCCAATCTCCTATTTAAATGTACTAAATGTTAGTTATTTATTTCTTACAGAACAGCATTGATATTCATAGACGTATCCCAAACGATAAGGTGCTTACGTTTTGCTCAACTCAACTGGCATTGTGAATAATCAAACGAGTAATCAGACCGAGATAAGAGTTACGTTAATGGAGATCCACGGAGCTTACTTCTTCTATGCTGGAGCTGGGCTAAGTATCTAACCCGGGTCTTGAATCGGTGATAAACGAAGGAAAAGTAATTCGTTGGTTCCGCTAAATGCAGTCCTAATGACAGCGCGGTTCTACTTTGGCTGGCATACATAACACTTCCCTGCTGATGATAGTAAGTGCTTCAAGTTTCTCCATTTCCCAAGGAATCAATATTTAATTTCCTCAATAAAGAGAATGATCTTCATGAGCTGGTGTGTAGTTAGATTGCTGAGGTGCGGGGGTCTTGGAAACTTCACGATTCTCTCGGCCACTACGTTACATAACCCAGATTTCTCGAGTATGTATTCCAACTGTTCACAGCCATGTATATGACTGTGTTCCTTAGTTTTTCCTTCTGGTTAACCTCTCAGAATAATAGATTCAGCCTCGGATCTGGTGTAGTTTTTCTCGGTACTTTCAGGTCCGCGGTGCTGCTTTTACCACTGTAGATCTCTGAGGATACCTTTATGCTTGCAGTCCGACGTATGGAGCATTGGAGCGCGAATAACAATAAATGGTGCCTCTGTTACGCTGTTAGTTGTTCGTCTGATTGGTCCCGATGTATGGATCTGACTGAAAAACTCTTGTGTTTAGTCGGTGATGTTCGGATTTTGTTGGTATCATCCATACAACCTGGAGCATCGAGACAATTATGTATCGGTTGTGAGAATCCCTATTCCTCCCTGCCTGTTCTGAACTTTCTGGCACTCTAAAGATGATGGTACTGTTTCGTCTTCTGCCTTCGCAATCAGAGGCTGGAGTTAAGATGCCACGAGGCCTGTATTGATCGATCTGTAAAAATCCTTCCTGTAAAGCCCAGTCATTCCGTCTCGGTTCCACATTTCGCGAATTTTACGTTCCATTCACCAAACATCATCCGCCTCATAAACATTTAGACATTTGACGTTCCACTCCAGTTGTATGTTTACACATCGACCCTACCGTTTGACTTTGTTTGTTTATCTGCTTCAATTTTTACTTTACTTGTTTTCATCGCGACTTGAGCGCTCAAATTTGGCTCGTTCATGTGCAGCGTGACGGTGAGCGTGCTATTCTTACCCAGGCTCATTTTCTTCCATTTAGATTTGTTGAATTACGCTCACAGTAACACTTGGCTCTTGTTTTCAAGTTGTGTGGTGATCACTTTGCGGTTTGTACAGTTTTATTTGCATATTCGATCGTTTACTAATGCAGTACAGTAGAAATTTGCCGGATCCTTCGTTTTGTTGACGCTTTTGGATGCAATTTCGGCTATGCGTCGCTCGTTGATTTATTTAGGAGTTACAAGTCCAAAAGGCTCTGTCTCAGGTTTGCAACTTTTCCTGCTTCACATCAACGACCTCAGCACCGACCTGGAAAATCCCTGCTACAAGTTTGTAGACGGTGTAAAAATAGATGGGGCGTTCACGACAGAGTCGGTCCAGAGAGATCTTGACAAAATGCATGCGTGGTCAGTTAAATGGAACCTGCTTTCTAATACTCTGAGATGTCAACAACTGATGAGAAATGGAGGCATGGAAAGTGGTAAGACACTGAGACCCTTATAATGACCATGATTGTACGAAGAAAAAGAGCAATCCACGAGGACGTTTTCCGTTCATATTTTCTTCACAATCAACTCTGACTCCAACTGTGATATTTCTTTGTTTTACTTCTGTTTGTTTTACCGAGCACGGTTTTCCGCTCAGGTGTATATGTAAGCTGGGTCCTCCTCAACAACATGTGTGACAAGCTTTCGCTTTGCTACTGCATTTATTGCTTGCTTTTCTTAGCGTCACCTTGGCACGTTTCGGTACTATCTAGCACCACGATTCGCCAATAAACGTTTACGACTCCCACGAGTGTTTTTCCCTACCTCGGACAACGAGACACTAGGAGGTCGCACGCATATTGAGACTCGTAAGAAGACTTACCGGCATGTCGTCAATTCCGGTTAGCTTCAGACTTTACAGGACCTCATCCGTACACCAGATCTCTCCGAGAACACTTGAGAAACAGTCAAATAGTGAAACCAAAGGGCTTTATCTACCTGTGATTTTTACATTGGCCATTGGAAAATTGTTATTCTCATATCTTCTGCACTATCTTCCTTTGCACCTGCCGGGTATGTCGGGATCCCCAGATAATTAGAAAACCCTTTAGGATATAGCTTTGCCTCATCCCACTAACCGCTCAGCTAGGTGCATACCTTGTTATAATAATAGTAATAATGATAATAACAATAACGATATATTCACGCCAGAGGTCATGTCTGCAGGCATTCCTTTTCAGCAGTAACCTGTATCAGCTGAATAATTATGCACGTGAACCGTAAAGTTGCTCAAGTCGGCACTTTGGGACCCAAAAATCGGCTCGCAAGGGATTGTCTGTTGTCTAAACACACGTAGACAAGCGATACGCTCACGGTGCAAGAACCTGGACTCAAATTGGCATCAACCGCAAGTCCTCTTTTCCCTTTCAGGTTCTTCCTTGCAATTACCTGAATTCCCATCTCAATCACCCTGACTAGCGGACCGTGCTCTCAACACCTCTTCAGTGGGCGTTACTCATGAACTGGAAACCCACAATTCTCCAAGATCCGAAACCATTGGGCTTAGCCTCGAGCCCGTGAAATACTTCAAGACCTGACGTGAGTGCCGCGCGGTTTAAAATTTTAAGGTGCTCTGTGTTGTGGCTAAAATTATCTTTGTTGCAGTGAAGTAACGTAAGTTACTTTACTCGTTTTACGCAGCTTTAGTATACCGGTTTTCTTTTACGATATCCGGAATTTATATTCTCCGAAATAACTAGCTTTTCATCCTTTTCCCCGTGTTCTCTTTCCTGTGTATTATACTCGGAGTTTTCGTTGTTTTGGGTTTTAGGATTTGTGGGAATGTTTACATTTTCACTCTCTTTCATGCGTCGTTCTTACTCACGGAATGATGTTATTTTTCTCAAACGTTTTAGCACACGTTTCGATGGTTCAGCGGCTTGTGCGAATTCAGTTTCCTACTTTTCAGTCTGGACCAGAAACCGCAAGCATGCAGTATGGCAAGGTTCCCTTACTATCACCCGTGTTTCAAAGTTGACTGCCCCTCATTGATCAGCCCTAACACTCTGTTCCTGTGTTTCCAAATGTCAAATTTAACTAGTGTCCGCCTTTCAAGTATTCATAAGAACTCGTGTGCGTTCTGTGTTCAAGAATCCTTGTTAAATAAGGATGTAGATGTTTCTCTAGTTTAAATAGACGGCTTTTGATTTTACAGACAGCATCGTGGAACCGGAAGCAAAACGTCCGGAGGGGGTGTTGCCAGATATGTCAAAGTTTCTTCGTGTGGCAATTCGCATGTTTTTTCAGTATTGCTCAAAAGTTATTGAATGCTTTGTAACGACCGAACCGCGGTTGTCCTGGTCCGAGAGAAACGAAAAAGACCTCGTCTGCATGCCTCTAATTGAATGACCCTTCGCTCGTTCTGCACAGATATAACCATGCCTCAGAACAACACTTAGCCGAAATTATCGAAAACCAAGTCGATCCAAAAATAATGTACGGTACTATTTTAGCAATAATGAAAAAATACATAAGTAAATCATACCTCTCATGGCGAGCGTGATTCACTATCCAGCCAAAATGTTACAAATATTTACGGAAAATATCGGTGATAATAAAAATAAATAGAAAAATAAGTGATTTGAATTACCTACCAGATAATTCTGGACAAATAGGAAACTTCTGCACGCTTCAGCAGATCAAGCAAAATAATCTTGAACGTTACAGCCAAAAGGAGTTNCAAAGAGCGTCCAGCCGAAACGTTTGTCGTAATAAAACAAGAAAAAGCACTGAATCTCATTTACATATAAGCTCAAAGCACTTGAAGCATGTGTCCAATAGATATGATTCACCGTGAAAAGGGGAACAGAAGGTTCAGAAGAGAAAATTCACCGACATGAAAACCACTGTAGGAAAGAATGCACGATAGAATCGCGAAGAAAAATAAGGATATGCAAGGTAATTGAGAGGAATTTTCAGTCCTTTTGCCTGTTGCAGCCTAACTATATAATAATAATAATAATAGTGTATATT